GATGGATTCTGACATGCTTCTAGTCCTGAGCTCCTTAGTTTTGTTTGTAATTTTTGCTGGTAATGAATTCTGAGAAAAAGCAACTGCAAAAGAACACCAATTTTATCATTTGGTCCATGTAATAAAAGACACTAAGGTATTACTTGTCTTACTGCTGCTTGCAATGCATGCTTCTCTTTTAATTTCTTGCTAATCCTATTTCACAGCACCGAGGTTCATCCAGCAGTAGTTACACAGCTGTTTGGTGGTAGATGGAGCCTTTAATTATGGGCAGTGCCATGAGATTAATGTTTCTAATTTCAGCTGCTGAGTGGGGTTTCACTGGAATCAAGATCCATGTTTTTTTCACTGATGCTTCTGATCGAAACTCATTGCTGCTTCATGTGTTGTTTTTACAAGTATGGCTGCTGTATACATTTGATTTCAAATGCCATCTTCAGGCAATTGTGCCAGAGGTGCTGATACTCTGCTCTCCCCACCTGTCTATCCCACAGCAGGTGTATCTGTCTGTCTGCAGTGCTCTCCAGTGTACAGTTTCCCCTGGAAGATCCTGCCTCTGAATAAGCACCTGGTGCCTTCTAAATTTTTAGACCAGTGAAGTTGGCTAGTGTGACTCCCTCCAGAAAGCACACTGGGATCAGATCTGACCATATCTGTGATGTGCTCCACTTTCCAAGTGCTCTGTGGATGATTTTGGAGAAAGCAGGGTAACATTTCCAAATAGTTTTGGCCTTAATGTAAAGGAAAGCATTTGTAGCTTCACAAGGGCTGATCACTCTCCTTTGCTACCCAAGAAGATTTTACACTTGGTTTGCATCCTTAGGATTATGATCTCTCAAACACCTGTTATCAAAACCTTACCTGTCTATGTCAGAAGAGGACATGAGGTTACCCCTTCTCCCTGACCATGAGGCCAAGGTGTTCCCACCACACTAACCCTCCTCCCTTGCCACCCACAGCCCCTGTAGCATCATTTGAGCCATCAGGGAAGCATTGCAGGCACACTGATTACAGGACAGGCAGTCCTGTTTCACCACGGGCTGAGGAAATAAAGCATAGGGAACTAAGGGGTCACAGCCTACCGAGCCAGGAAGGACAGCCATAATCATCTAGTCTGAAATAGGCCTAAAGGGTCTCTTCAGAGCTATCTTTGTCTAAAATGTTGCAAGCGATGATGGCAGTTTCACTAGTTCCCCTGATAGGCTGTTTCTGTTTTTCATTACTTTGTTGCTGGGAAATTTCTCCTTATTTCAAGGTTGAATTTTTCTGACTTCAGCTTTTATTTGTTGAATCTTTGTCAGCCAGATTGGAAAGCTCCTCACGTATGTCTTCCCCAAGAGCAATTACCTACGCAGTGCAATGAAGGTATGTCTACGCTTTCTCTTCAGTGAGCTGAATATGCTGAGCCTCTTACCCATCACGTCAGAAGGCATGGGCTTTTTTTTTAAAGCCAGAGAATTCATTTGTGACACTCACTTGAACTCTGTCCAATGTCTTCAAATCCTCTTAAAATGCAGACACTAGGACAGCGTTCAGTAACCTAGTAAGGGTCTTGGCAGTGCTGCCAAATGATGCTGAAATCCTTCATTATTTCTGCTTCATATTATTCTCCCCCACCCATATTCAAGAATCTCATTAGTCCTTTTGCAACAGCATTGCCCAGACAGCTTACATTGAGGTGATTATCTATAATGACCCCTAGATCCTTTACTGAGCTCTGTTTTCCAAAGCAGAGTCTTCTATCGTGTAAATATAAGCAATTACCATTCTTGGATCTCGAAGACTAGATCTTACCAAAATACATTTTTGCAGGTTACAACTATTTACCCTGATGGCTCATTTACCCATCTATCTGTTAGTTACTACTCCACACAGTTTTATGTCAGCTGAAGGTGGGACTATAGCATAGAGAAGTAAAACCAAAGAGTCATTCAAGAAAAAGTCTCTGGTTTTAAAATATCCCCATTCAGTGATATCTACCTATGGACTGTATTTTAAGAGCTGCCAGTAGCCTAGTATTCAGTTCACAGAACATGTTATATGGTAATTCCATAAAAGGTGTAATTGACTGTATTTTACTTATCCTTACAAGTATCCTGGAGAAATTCTATTTTTCACTAGGCTAAAACACGAGTCTTTGCATTTGGTCCTGGAAAAAAATATCATGATCTAAATTTCTTCACATCTAGTCAAGTCAAATCAATTCCAAATTACTTGTTCTCATTCAGTTGGCAAAACCAGGTCCAACCATTAATTAAAAATAATTATTCCTAATTGGTAGTACAGGAATGTGATTCTAGGAAGGTCTTTTCTGGCTTAAATAATTCAATGATGCTGAGTTGACTAGTCCCAGGTTTTGAATCCTTGCTGAAAACAGGCTGCAGTGAATTGGCTCAATGTGCTGACAAAGGACATGAAACAAAAATACCCCTTCTTTTCAGATTTATAGTCTGTTTAAGGTGCTCTTCCTTACTTTCTGTGTGAATTACAGTTTTGGGTAGAACTTATGTACCAAACTCAGGCTTGGGGACCAATGCCAAGTGTCTCAACATGTAGATTCTTTATAGATTAAGGGCTACCAGTAAATCAGCCCATTGTCTTGTCTCCATTAAGATTTTTGTTTTTTATCTATTTCAAGAAAGTTGAAACCTTCCTAGTAAAGCAAAGGCTTCAGAGTTCTCTGGGAAATGCAGCATTTAATCCATGCATCAGAGGCACCATTCCATGTGATATTTAGGACATGCTGCCCTCAATGAGCTGCTGAGACAGAGGCAGAACTGCAGAGTGCTGATCATCTTTGGGGTTTGAACTGACTGGCTCAGTAGTGAAAGAGCTGACAAACATTGCCACCAAAGCATTGGGTTTGCCTTCCTTCTGTTTGTTTGATGGCATTTTCCCTGCCCCATCTGTAGTTAATAGCATCCTTAAGCTGCTGCTTCTACAGCTGATATCAGCACAATGGTTTCTCATCCAATGTGATATAATTTGCTTGCAAACCTGCTTGCAAATGGGTCAGCTTATTGATAGAGAAATTAAGAATGTTGCTTTAGCACCTCATGGTGTAGTTCAGTGGAAGAAATCTTGGCACAGTGGACATAACTCAATGAACACCATGAAAAAAATCTGTTTTCTCACTGTTCACCAAGATTATAAGAGTAGTTTCTCCAGAAATTAGAGCCTCCAACTGTTGCCTGTCAAAATGCAGTTTGTTTTCACTGTCAAGATCTAAAGTACATTTAAAATATAGCACTCTTGCTGTAGCACTTGCTCTCTGTTTCCACTTACATAATATTTTTTGCTGTTTTTTCTAACATAGAATCATAGAATGGCTTGATTTGGTTTGGAAGGAATCTTAAAAATCACCTAGTTCCAACCCCTCTGCCTTGAGCAATGACACCTTTAACTAGACCATGTTTTTCAGAACCCCATCCAACCTGGCCTGTATATAAGTGAACTATTGCTGTTACCGTTTAAAAATAAGATATGTGTTTGTAGGACATGAATGATTGTCTTCCTAGAGTCATATTCTTGTACTACAATAATTAGAAAGAATTATTTTTCAAACCTGACTTTTGACAACACTGTAAAAAAGTATTAGACCTTGCTTTAGAGCTGCACAATTATTTTTCTAATTCCCAAGAACAACGTGTTGGTAAAGAAAACACATTTTCTACCATTAGAGACCTACTGAACTAGGTATTTTCTTCTGAAACATATCTCTAAACACTGTTTAATTATTTTATATTAATTTGAGACTGGGGTTAATTAAAATTAGATTTCTTTAAAACAGGTAATTAAATTTGCATCTGAAATATATTAAATTGGCATTTAGGTGCAAAATCTTAATTGTCTTGACCATTTCTGTGGGTCAGCCTCAAGGGACATATCAGCTCTCTGCAGCTCCCTTTGCCTCACCTCTCTGGCACTGCTCAGGGTTATTGCTCCTAACCAGTGAGCCCTGTGCTTGTCCCCTGCTTCTTCTGAAACAAGGAAAACCTGGAGCCCAGCACAGCTCCTTCACACAGCAGTAGCTCTCCTCTTCTGACAGTTCTGTGATCTGATGTTCTGCTCTGAACAAAACCTGCTTTGGAAAAATTCATACACAGCGAGCCCTGGAAGAAATAACACGCTGCAGAAATCCAAGGGTCTCAAAGGGTTAAAATATAATTCTTAAATCTTGCATGAGCAATTTCAAATGTAGTGATAATCATTCAGACTAGCATCTCATCAAGAAGCATTTTTGTGCTTCCTGGTGCAGTTATTGGGTACTTTTGTCTTTTAATGATATACACAAAAGGTTATTTTGCATTAGCAAACTTCCAAACAGCACCTAATAAAGATATGTAGGCATGTGTGTTCACCATTTGAAAATTATTATTATTTTACTGAATATTAAGGCACCAAGCCCACACTCCCTTTTTCTCTGCAGAGAGTGAAATGCCTGTTTTCACAACAAAAAGTCTTCTGAGCATTTACTTTATTAGCCTGGCCAGGGCCTGACCTGGCCTGGCCATTGACTGTAATCCCTTGAGGAAGAATCTCAAGTGTGAATGTCTAGAAAGGCAGATGGTAACAATATTTTTGCAGTTTAACTCCAACTTACAAATCAAAACAATTGCTAGCACTTGGGTCCATGTTTAAGATTTTGGCAGTCCTTTTTTCTTCTGTGATGACAAAGGCAGCTCACTGCCCTGTTTTACAGTAATGCAGTTCAAAGAGGCATGATGACAGACAGGGAACAGCGTAGATTCCTCCTCCGACCCTATTGCTGAATTGTGTAATGCCCCCATCAGCTGTTCTGAGGGTGCTGGAAAAACACATCACAATGTGTGTGAGGCACATGAGGGATGTGCACTGCAGAAAAGCCTGGCTTCCTTTTGTTGAACTGTAGAGTGTTTGTAAGTGTGGGAACTGTAGAGTGTTTGTAAGTGTGGGCAGTGTGGGAAAGCTGAGTCAGCAAGATCTGGATTTGCAGCATTATTGAGGACACAGTAACTTCATTTGGAGTTGTAGGCGTTTAATAACCTTGAAAATAGAACTGCATGAAATTCTATTTAAGATGTGAGGCATTTATGTCTGCTGAAAGAAAACCTGAAGAAATTACACTTTGTATCCAGAGATAAGGAGGAAAAATTGCCTTCTGTTTTTTCTTTGAAAGCCTGTTTTTCATCAGTGTGTAAAATGCTCACTGACACAAATGAACAGAATTAGTTTGCCTGTAAGGGGGATGGTAGGGTGTTTAAGTGATATTGGATAAAATGCTGCAGATCACTGGACATTAAGAGTAGTTGGATACTGAATCAAGTAATTGAAGCCTAAGGAGAGGCCCACCTTCCACTTCTATTTTGATTGTGTTCAAAATCTCCCCAACAAAGGGTTGCAGTGGCTAATGTGACATAACCTGAGGTGCCATTTAATTATTTTTAGTGGTGGGCACACAGCTGTTTTACTCACTCAGTCACTTAGTGACAGGACAGGTATTAATCACTGATGTTCATATTGTACTGTCTTAAGCTGAGTCTCCATTTTTTGATCTTATGCAGTTTGCTTTAGAGAGTAGGTGGAATACTCCATGTATAGGAGTGTCTTGCACCCCCTGTATATCCCCCTGGCCTGTACTTTGGTTAGGGCACTGTAAATCCTGTTTTTAGCCATCTGGGGCTCTCCAGAGTACATGATGAGATTTTGTATGCTTCAGCCTAAACTACTCAAGATAACACCTTATTGTGACAGGTGTTATCAAGATGGTAACAGATATCCACTGCCAAGACCTGGACAACCAGCAGTGCCATGAGGCACTGGGTCAGCATGTTGTGGTGGAGGCTGACTGTGCTAAGGATAAACCGTGTATGTTTAACTGGAAGTATGTGTTTGGCTTCTTGATGCAGTGCACTTTGCTCTCAGACATTTTCTTGAAGCACAGGATGCTTATTTAGGCCATTGTTAGTGGTCATCAGCCACCTCTTAATGTGGAAAAATCAGTGGTGAGAACTAGTCATAGCCAGAAGAGTGACCAGTTATCAGATACTGCTAGTTCTTGGTACAGTCCCTGGAAACCCTCACGCTTATTTCCATGTCTTTTTTTCTTTCCGTTTGTTGTTTGTTTTTTTTTTTTTGCAGAGAGAAAGTATCCATAATCCAATAAATGAGCCATGAGCAACCTCAATTCTTCCCCTCTTTGGCAGGAAGTCAGCAGCCGAGGCTATAAACTCGAATTTGAACAGTTTGTTCAAATGGTTTGTTTGCCTCTTCTCCCTCAGTCAGGAGCTTTTGTAACCTGTTTGAAGGAGCCCTCAGGCTGGGACAGCTGTGGGCTTGGCTGGCTGAAAAGCATTTGTTGAAGATATTCAGGGGGGAGATAAATGACAGGAGTTTTATGTACATCTTTAGGTTTCGAGGTGCAGAGTGAAACCAGGTGGGATTTCTGACCCAATGGGAGAGACAGAGTGCACAGGAAACCATCTGAAGTGAGGTCTCTCTCCCCCTTGGGTGGGACAGGCTGTTCTTATCTCACTGTAATGCCCTGTACTGCCCCTGCTTAGTCCCATCCTTATAGCTGGACCATATGAACACATCCTGTGTTTTTCACAGTCCATCTGTAAGTTTTGTACTAGGTGTGAAAGGTTTCAGTGATTTTGACACCCTGCATTTCTTCAGTGGGGCTCTAGAGGACAGCTTTGGTTGCTGCTCAGGACAGAGACCCCATTTGTCTCAAGGCTTGAATACCATTTACCAACGTTATGCTCTCTAAATCATGATATTCAGCTTTACCCATCACTACTTCTCAGTAATCTGTATGAAAAAGACTGCACAAACCTAGGCAGAGGCACGTTTAGATTTGTAGCTGTCCAACAGAATGAAGACACAGCTCTGCTGCTTTCTACTCCCACGTTAGAAAGTTTGTAGTAAGAGCAAGTTAAAAATCAATCTGCAAATGGAGTAAGCCAAAGTCTGAGATGAGTTCCTGATGTATGTCTCCTTTAAGCCAAAGGGACTCAGTCCCTAATCAAATATCTTTAGCTGTTATTTATTAGATTATTACAGGCTTTTTATGTAAACCATAATGTGTTTCAGTAGGCAGACATGAAGAACACTCCTCAAACCATGAACTTTTGAAAATGCACATCTCAAAGTAATTTTACTGTACGTCCCATCATTCTTCTGCTACTGGGAGCAGCAATCATTCCATCTCTCATGCCCTTATCCATGGCTCAATAAGGCTGTCTCTGTTCTCCTCACTGGGCTCCTCTTCTGAGCCAACACTTTCCTTCATTTCCTCCCTACTGTGTTCAAGCTTCTCCCTGTGTTTGATCATCTCTGTGGCCCTTTTCTAGTTTATCCTCTCTGAGTTGGAATGACCCAAACTATGCACCCTGTTCACTAAGTCTGAATAAATGGTTTTCAAATGGTGTGGCTATGTGTCCTATTTTGTTACCTACTCCTTTTTTAGCATTCTGCTGGGATTTGTCATTGTGACCCCGCTGACAATGGAGCTGGTGATTGCAAGACCTACCCAGGCCTATTTCCTGAGAAAGAGATAATTGCACATTCAGAGCCTGTCACTGTAGATACATACTTAAAGGTAATTTTGTGTCCAAACACATTATTTTGCACTTATCAGTGCAAACATTTTGTCATCTGCTCACTTTATATTGTGTGTACCTAAGATGTAAGACTTAGCTGTCAGCATTAGATGTCATTATTCTGCATAATTTTGTCATGGCACTATTCAGTGTTCTGTCAGGTACTTTGTGACCAGATTGAACCTCATGAAGTCCCAAAGCACATCCCTGAATGGGATCCTGCTGGTTAACTGCTGACAAAATGACATTTATTCCCTATCTCTAGACATGAGAAGAATGTTCCTTCTGCCCACTGATTGTTTAGCTTGCAGGATTGTACCATCTACCCTTTTTTATCTCATAAACGACTGTTTCCCTGTTAATATGTTGGAAGGCATCAAAAGGACGGATCAGCTTTTTCTTTGGTCAGTTTCAAAAACCCTTTCACTGTCAGTGCTTGGAAATGAACCACATGATCCCTGTAAGTATCAATTAGGTTTGCCTTTTTGTACACACAATCTCTCCTAATCTGTGTCGTGCACATATTTTTTTACAAATGGTCAATTCTGAGACACATCTTGTAATAACAGGCAATATCAACTGACAGTTTTCCATCCCATAGGCAATATGAGCAACATGAGCAAATACAAGTGTTTAAAATGAACATTTCTGAGAGTTTAAAATACTTATGATTTCTGATAATTATGAAAGTGACCTTTTAATTGCTCAGACTCTTTAATCACCACTGATTCAGTGATTGCTTTTTTATGTAGAACATAGGGGAATTTAATGGAAGAGGTGAAGTTAATTTTTATTCTGACATTTTTTCACAGAATCTGACTCATACCTCCCTTTAGTTTTTGCTCAATGTTCAACAAAAAAATGAATGTTTTTTATGATGGACTATAAGCTTTTGATTGTCCTGCTAAGCACCAGCTGCAAAATCTGATGTAGTTTATTGTGTGACAAAGCTGAATGTCACACAGTAACTCATTTGAGTAGGAGCCAAGCTAATATTCTTTACTGGGGAAACATGCTCACTAAAATGTTTTTATGGAACTAGGATGTCAGATTCATGACGGAAATTTGGAAAGCCCTGTTTTGGGTGCACTGAAAATGAGTTGTTCAGATGAACAAGCTATTTACACAGACATGTGGTCAATACTGGATACTGGTTTAATCTTCTAGTAATCCAGACATTACCATATGGACAACCTGCACAGATTGATCTGATGAGGCCTCACTGGATAAATGAATATCCTGCTTCAGTTAATTTGCTGAGAGTTTATGTTAGCTTTTATCAGGAGGAAAAAAATGCTTTCCAGCACATAGTTTATTCGCAGTGACATACAAAATGAGACTGATGACAATCGACACAGCAGCTTGTTTGACAAGCAGCTCATGATGGTTTGGACAGTTATCTGGAGGGCTTTCTTTCCATACTTCATTGTTTGTAGCCAATGCACAGCCTTTCCAATGTGGAACCACCTTTGCACATAACATATCAGAGAATGCACTCAGTTTTCTCTTGAATTTTGCTTTCAGTGATGTACCCACAGTAATTGTGTTTAATGCCATAATGGGTTATTTAGTTTTGTTATCAACCTCTGCTTTCTCAATCTTCTGTCCTGTGAGGAACTGCCATATTCCTCCTCTGTAGTTTTCATTTCCCAGGGCATATACAAAGGCATCCACCGTTGGCACAGCCTTGGCAATAAGGGCAGGAATCTGTCACGAGACACAATATTTATTACTGGGAAAACACACTGAGAAGCCAACAGGCTGATTTCAGCCTATGTTTAGTTTCCCCTTACCAGAAAAAGCCTGTCTCCAATGGCATTAGCTTTCTACTCCCAGACAGGGAAGAAGTAAAAGCAATTTGGCTGGTGGGAAGTCCTACTAAGGAAATTATAGTTTACAGGAGAAAGAATTTAGGTTGGCATTGCCTGAAACAGGGATAATTCAGTTGCCATTGAATACAAGCACTTAGGATGAGTGAAAGGTGTGCCATGGACACCTTTGGATGGATAAACAGGCTGATGTTGCTAGCACACTTAACGTGGGATACTGAATACAGTAATGCATTTGGTGACCTGAAACTGGGCTGATTTTGGGGGGAGGCACGGAATGAAAGTTGAAATGTTTGATGTGATATTACAGCAGTGATGATTCCAGCTGTGGCTTTGGAGCCAAGACTCATTGAAGAAAGGGGAAGAAGGAAGCAGCAGAACCTTAGGAGTAGTCAATTACAGCTTCCTTGAGGACAAGTAAGTATTAGGTATAAGAATGAGACAAACAGTGAATTTAAAACTGAAAATTCTAAGCTGGTACCTCACTCTGGGAAGGACAAAAAGCTCCTACATGACATAGAACAGGACAGGTTACACACCCCTAACTAACTGCTAAGGAAAAATACCCCTGATTTCCTAAATTTTTGCTTGATCAAAGCAATAATACAATGCCTGTTGTATCACTGTGCTTACCTGTTTTCGCTAAAAAATGGCAGATGAACAGAATGCTTTGAGGAAAAGGACTACTTCTTATACATGTTTTTACAAATAAACCCAGTAGTGAGTAAACTGTCATTGTCCCATAGAGAGAGAGAGAGAGGGGAGTGAGGAGAATCTCAGTGTTTGGGTTCTGAGGTGGTGCTGACGTACCATGCGGTATTTTGGTGGAATGAACATCACGTTTTCCACTGCTGCGTAGGAGCACAGCAGGCAATAGGGACCCCAGCAAATGACCAGCGTCTTCAATGGTAAACCAGTATTAAACTGAAAAACAAGAGCAATAGGTTTCCTTGTGTTTCACAGTCACTGTGGCTTGTGTTCAGTAGCAGGAGAGGATCAGCCAACAGGATATGGGACAGAAACATAAGCACCAAATCAGCACCAAAGCCCTGATCCTGGGCAGGGGTGGGGAGTGGCAGAGGAGACAAAACACCTTGTGGTAGATCAGATAAATCAGTGTGTGCTAGATACAGAAGCCATGGCCAGTAACTGCTGCTGAGGGGAGACAGCAATGTGAAAATTTAAAAGCAGATTAAAAGGATTAATATTTTGCTGACTTCCTAGATAGTCTTATAGACAAAGTATGTGGCACCACTGCTGGTGCAACAAATGGATGCAGTAGCTCTGCTGTGGTAGGAGGATTTCTCTGTCCTTTATGCTAGGGACCTATCCATGGTGTTTGTGGCCAGCTGTTCCCAAGTATCTTATAAATATTAATGACTAAAGAAGTGATAATTTCATCCTTAAATTTTCTGCATTCTAACTTGTCTGTGCAGCTACAGAGTATCGTGGGAAAGAAATCACATGCTAGTGCATACAAAGTCACTTGAAAAAAGTAATAGACATGATAATGAACACTGAGATTTGTTCAAGACATATATAGAGGACACATGTATTTATTCCAGTCAGCTACAAACAAGTCTACCTGACTGTCTCTGTCAGTATAACGTTTCTCTTGAGATCTGACTGTCTTTACTGAGTGCAGGGGTTGGGCTGTGCCCACCAGCCATGCACAGTGCCCCAGACTGTACAGCCTGCACCGCAACAAACAACTCATAGAATCACCACATTACATTTCCATAAACCTGCCACACCAGAACAATTCCTTTGTTTCCAGCTCATAAATATGTCTGTATTTCCTCAGCCAAGTGTTAGCACAATGTGTCTGGGAAAGCCCTTCTCCCCATGGGGTGCCTGCGTGTTCCCTTGCAGAGCTGTAGTTCTGTCTGACTTCCTCAGCCATAAACCAAAGGCCTGTAGCAAAGCAGGAAATACCAATCCTTCCTGAGATAAATTTCTCTGGATAAATATTGATATGCTATTGGCAAATATTCTGTATGCTCTGTGTTTATTTTTTGAGGAGAGGTGGACCAATGTTAATGAAGGGAAATCTTCAGGATCACTGGTCCAACTCCCTCTTTGATGGGGAACTGTTTACAGGACTAGGTTAGGGTAAATGTGGTTGTCTGGTAAAATGTTGACATTTCCAAGGATGGTGTGTCCATGGACATTCTGAATGGCTCCATCATTGCACTACTCAAGTAGCACTGGGGAGTTAGGATAGAAGGAGCTGAGTCAAAGTCTTTGTGAAAGAAATTGTTTTTTTTTCCAAGAACTTCATCTCTACTGAATGCAGACCTATTTTGTCAAGGTGATTGCAGGAGATCAGGGAGCTTTCTTACCTTAAAGTGCCCAGTTTTCCTGAACTTTTGGTGTATGGACTGATAGGCTGTCAGCATGATGAAGCCTGGGATCATGAAATTGAAAGTGGACAGAGCAAAAAGGAATGTGACATAGTTTCTGGAAAAGGTGAGGAGGGGAGAAAAAAAGAGAATATTAATTCAAATCCAGTGCATCTCTGTAAACTTGCTGTATTTACCAAATTGTAATTTGAAAATTGCTAAAACCACTTTTGTCAACGTGCTTCAGGTGCAGCATTCACTAAAGGCCAATTAAGTTGTGCCATGCTATTGTGTGTGGGATGGATAGTATTGTAGAAAATCATAACAGTTGTTTGTATTCTAAACCCAAACAAACATCACTACCCAGACTTCTGTGTTGGCCTGCATAAAGCCAGACATTCTGGAAGAGTTTCAAGCCCTAAACCCAGAGAAGATGCAATGTACAGAAGAGTGAGGGAGTGGCAGAAAGCTGAGCACCAGCCTCTCCCACAGAGGAAGCTGACTTTAGCTGCTCCCTGTGCCACCACGCGAGTCCAGGCAGCCTTGGGTGATGCCTGCCTTGTCCCAGCTGCTGGGAGGGATATCTGCCCCAGGAACAGTGGTGGGCACAGCTGGGGGTGGTTTGTGCCACCAAGGCCATGCTAGGGATGGCAGCCTCCACTCTGCTCCTGTGGGAGCTGGCCCTGGCCCTCACCTGTCCCCTTTGCTGTAGTCCAGGGTGCAGCAGGTTCGGAGGGGCTCGTAGTCGTATTCTCCCCACCCCAGCAAGGGCATCACGGACCAGAAGGCAGCAAACAGCCATGCAAACAGCATCATGGAGGCAGCTGTGCTCCACTGCAGCCTGCTCCCTGTGGGAAGAGGAAAGGGGGTCTCCATGCCCTGAACAAAACCACTGGAAACAGATGTCAGGCCCTTGGGCCTCAGGCAGAAACAAGCAGTTGTTCATGTTTTGTACCCTGAAGCTGATCTGAGTCTGAAGGAGTCAGTCTTCCATAAAATATGAAGGAAGCTTTTAGGAAACAGCAAACTGTACTTCCCTTTTGTGTGTTTTACTTAGACAAATGCTGCATTGCTGCTCAGCTTTGTAGCATGCTGGAGATACAGCTGCTGTTACAAACATTATGCTTTGTGTTTTGGGAATGTGTTTAAAGACAGATGAGCCAGAGAGCAGAATGAACAGGGTGAGGCAATAAACAGTGTTTGAAGAAACACCATTGCAGGGTGTGGGTCAGATCAGAAAAATGACCCTGCACACACTCCCCAGCCTCTGCCTTCTTCCTTCCTGCCTGGCCAGGAGTTCACTGCATGTGTGGATATCTGATATACCCTGTTCTAAAATTACTGGTCACCAATATATATGTGAAAATATATATATACAACCTGAGAACAGAGCTTCTTCTAAAAATACTAGTGGACAAGTAATTTTGCCCTTAAGATGATCACTTAGCCTATAACAGGAAATGTGAAGCTCAGCATTAGTAACTTTTTTCTAATTTTATAATAAAGCATTCCCTTGTGTCCATCTCATCCAGTTCCATCAAATGCCATAGGAATGTAATGAAAGACTGCAAACTTGAGAAGACACAGAAGTATTTCTTCATGGAGAAGACAGGCAGGCTTCCTTGCTGCTGCAGGCTATTGTGCTAGCCCCACTGCTTGCATGTAAAAAGGTCTGGATAATTTTGTTATTGAGGGCAGTGGCTGTCGTCATGCTCACGCTGAGCAGCACCAGCAAGGAGTGCAGTGACTTTCCCCAGCACTCCTTTCTAATCCAATCTCCCATTAGGGACAAGTAATGATGCAATTTTCACTGAGGCTGGGGAGCAATCTTTTTGTCTGCTCTTAGGCAGCAGCATCATGAGAGCAGGCAGGAAGATTCTGGCCAATTCTGATCTTTCCCTGAGAGGTGAAGGACCAGGGATGAGGTGCAGGAGATGGGTCCCTGCCGTGGGGCTGGACTGACTCGTGAGTGAAGGACATCTGGGGCCATGGAGGCTGGAGATCCCCATGAGACAGCAGCTCCAGGAAGAGACACAGACTCTACAGCAGCTATTTGGTGTTGTACTACTCTTGTGTATTTTAAAAAGGGAAAATAAAGGGTGCTAGTCAAACTGCCCTTTTACAGGAGTTCTGGTTCCATTCCTCTCCTTTTTCTTATCTTAAAGACGTTCTTAAAGTAAAAAAAATTAAGTTTGAATTGCATTAAAAATCAGCTTGGAAAATTTGTTTGGTGCAGGTGTTCAAAAATTCATCATGGGAAAAGACAGTGGTACAATGCATTTATATAACGAGGAAAATGAAAGAAAAAACTCTGTGTGAAATATTCTAGGTTTTTTATTTGATACTTGCAATAAAAATTTTGATTTTTTAATAATTAAAACCATAATTTTATAATGATTATTATAATGACTAATGGAGAATTGTTAATAATGACTAATATCTGTCTTTATATGATTACTACATAGAAGATATAATTTGGCTGCAAAGGCTTAAACACTGCTTTGTAGTACTCACATAATATGACTCTAGAATTACATAGAGAAAAAGAAAAGAATAGTTTTTGATTTAGGGGACTAGAAATAGAAGTGAAAGTTTTTAGTAATTAGTAATTCCTAAACTCCCAGCCGAAAGAAGCAATGTAGCCTAAGCATCTAATTACTTCAGTGTTTGTGCCTTTTCTATGAAAAACTGTAGGGAAAAAAATTATTTTAGTTACTTTTCTGTGGGAGTTAGGGACCACCATTTTCTTATTAGATGTAGAATAAAAGGAGTATGCAGTAATGGTCTGGCACCAGGTTTGTCACAACAGCCTGTCTTTGGAAAGCCCATTTCTGGGGCTGAGCTCATCTTTTCTCTCACATTTAAGGGGCCCCTCTTTGGATGCTTGAAGAGGAGAGAATCAGAACTAATAAAATCAAACTTTTCCTTTTGGCTTTGACCTTTTGCGAAATGAGATTAATGGTGAAGTAGACCTGGTGAAATCAGCTGCTGGCTGACCCTTCAGAAAATATTTACACACAGAAGTAGCTAAAAATACATGAATGTAAAATTAGAAGAGCTTGAGATTATTTTAGTTTTATTCAGAAAAAAACACTTTCAGTACAAGAACAGTGAAAGAATTGTACTGTGTTCATGTGGCAAAATTGTTCTCGCCTGAGAAGGCTGAGAGCAAGAGCACAAGTTGAGAGCAGTTTAGCTGTTTTTGTGCACAGCAGGCCATTGCTTTACCTTAAATGCCTTTTCTTGGCCTGACAAAATTTAATGTAATATCTGTGTAGGTCCTAATTCAATTAAATGCATATGCAAGGGGTCCAGCATATGCTTACAGATATCATTCCTAATTGTGGCCCTGTGCTGGCAGTTTGGTCCTATTAAGTCTAATCACTCTTGTGCTCTGGTTTTCTCTCTTTGAAAAGTAAAAGGGAAGTCTCTCTTTTCCAGACAGTGAAATATTAATATAGGGAATTTTAAACAATTTCTCTAATTGATTTGGAACAGAAAGACTACTCTCCCATCAATCAAAGATTACTAAAATTGTGATGCCAAAAGATGAACTTTTAGCAAGTGCTAAATAGAGCATGGAACCTTAATGTTTTTGATCATGAAGGGCAGTTTTTAGTGATATAATCATAAACTATATCTCAGGGTTTAGTTTGCAGAAACATTTATGAATTTTTTTTTAAGATTTATGATTTATTCAAACATTTAGCTGATTTTCACAGACTAAAAATACATCTCTGATACCATGGCTACCTTTTAGCTAGATTTCAGTCTGCTGTTCAAAAGAAGTGTCTCAAATAAAAGGTTAACAGGATTTTCTATGATGGAGAGGAAAATAGTCCCTTTTCCTCATTCTTGCAAATGGTTAATACAATATTAAATTATAATATATTCCAGGACAGTTTAAGGCTTGTACCAAACTTAATGGCATGGATCATTTAAAGTTAGCTAAGGTTGTCAAAGACAGCAATATCTGAAAATCTGATAAGGAAAAATATCTATCAGTCATAAATAAAATAGGTGCTAGCCCCTAGTTCATCTGCAGTGCAAAAGCACCAGTCACTGGTGCTGACAAGTATTCATTTTTTGTAGGAATAAGAAAGCTGTAGTGTGTAATAGCTTCTTTTGTGCATATCATTATAAAGAGCTCTTTAAAATAACCTAAGGATATTTTTACTCCATTTTTTTTTTTTTAAATTTTGCTATGGTTCACCATCATCTTAGACTGTCTTGGTGATTGCCTCCTGCTTCAGTGAAAAACACAAGATCTATATAAACATCGACATTTTGTCAGGGAAAACGGATACAGGTGCAAAATTAGATGAAGGGAAGGTGGCAGAGTGGATGAGTCAGTGTGACAGGAGTTTAGGACTTTCTCCTAATTTGACAGAGCTGACAGTGGCAGTTTTAGCAAATGGTAGTTTGGTAATCCTTGAATACTGATATAAAACCCAGGTTACATTGGTTGTTAAGGATTAAATAAAAGTCACTGTAATTCTACTTTTAGAAATTGAATGCTGCTGTGAAATCCTTGCTGGTTTTGATTGTCTTCTCTTTTATAATATTGAGAGAAATACGGATATAAATCACTTCAGATTTTCTGTTTTCCCCTAATTCTTAAATGCAAGTAAAAAATCTATATATTTTTTAAATTTCCTTTTAAATCTGTAACTTTATGCTGTGCTTATGAACTGACCAGGATACTTTCCCTCTTCACAAACGTCTAATGGCAGCGTGAATGGAGTGTGAATGGCCAGAGAGGAACTGACAATGTCCACCTTGATCTAAACTGTGATCTAAACTGTCACCTTCTGGCCTGAATACTGCTGCTGAGAAACAGCTTCCTCAGAATCTGTGCTTTTCTTCTTCACTGCCAGGCACTAACATATAACTACTTCTGTTTTCTCCTTTCCCCCCTAATGATCAAATTTTAAAATCTTTTTTTCCCATCTTGCTAGAGATTGACATTGATACCCTCCAGATTCCCCTGATATTTCTCCTCTTACTGCATACTTTTAGGTTATCCCTCTAGTTCTCTCCTCTTTGCTCTGAAAGTAGCATTTCATAGACCCCTGAGCCACACTTCGGGAATGAAAAGAGTTGCCCATTGTGGTTGCTTGGAAGTAAAAGAAACAAGAGAGGGGAGAGTAAAATACCCTGACCTTCTCTTGCCACTCTGCCCCACATGAACAGTATAATACTGTTTTCTTCCATATGCCAAGCAATATCAACCTGATTTCTGGCGAGTGACTTGTCTAGTCATCAATACACTTTAAAGAGAGTGCCTTGTCACTTAGGGCTGTGCTGACTTCCAAATCTATAAAAACCTGGTCAGTTTTCAGAATGTTGCAGAAAAAATTTGTGACATTAGCATCCAGAACGGTTGTAAAGTCCCAAGTTATCCTATCATCATAGCAATCTCTTACATTCTCATCAGCTCTTTCTTCCCAGAAATAAGGACAGTGAATAATCAAGTGCCAAGCTGAGGAATGCCACAACAGATGTTTTCTTTGGAAACTATTAGGACATAACAAAAAAACCTGGGGATGATGTAATTGAGCCTGGAAGGAGTACCACATCCTGGGGAATGAAGATAAAAGGCTTTTATTTTAGGTAAAGGTATTTTGTACCTTCTGTACAGGCATGCAACTCGAACCAATGTCAACAGGAGTTTAATGTATGGATTGAGAACACAGAATAGCCTGTGGGCTTGGTGTAGCACATCTGTGAAATATGACTTAATCTTCCTTGCAATCAGCATGTGAAGAATTGAACTAGAAGGGGCTGGTTTTACTGGAATAACCACAGGGCATGAGCACCTTCTGGGTTTTTAATTTTGTTTTTCAAAATGTTCACTATAGGAGCCATGTTTGGCCATCAGTAAGTAACAATTTGAGCAAAGTAAAGAAGCTTGTGCCCTTAGGGTCCTTCTGCCTCTGCTCTTAATGCAGTGTATGTTCTTGACTGGAGGAATCCATGACACAAAAGCATTAAAGCCAATGTGGCAGAGGGTAAAATGTCTTTCACAGACATGCTTATTTTCAGGCTCTCTCTTGTAAAATACAGATGCTCCTCTTCCAGCTCCAAATGCATTTCAATGTCCAAGAGCTGTTAATATGGGTTTAGCTCACAGACTGCATTATTTGGGGCTTTTATCTTGACAAATGAAAAAATACATTTCATTGCCTGAGCTCAATTCCTGCAAAAACTGCAGAACTAAAGAAGTTTACAACCTTTCCTCAACAGGGTCATCAGACTGACCATATTCCCTGTGTGCTTTGGGTGTGTTTTGCCATTTGCTGCTGGAACCACATGGAGGCTGTGCCTAAAAAGCTCTGTGGGTAAAAAAAAGTCTCTTGCACCCCAAAATGCCTGTGTGTTGCACAAAGGGGCTGCTGAGCTCTGTCTGCCCAATCATGCCTCTTCATGGGCTCTGTTCCAGCCACTGTCTCTGCAGAGGCAGCTCTCTGCTTACACCAAATTTATCTATAGTTAGTAAAATCTGCATGGATATGATCTGTTTGGTACACAGCAGGGTGTTGGATGAAAGTTCAAGATGAATAGATTTTTCTTCAATATGAGGAATTGGATTTTATTTGGGATTTTGTTTTAAAGACTACTTATGGATTAAGAGAAAGCATGGCAAGAGGGTCACAAATTGGATGTGATGTGGATGAGGAAATATCTCCTGAACGTGGTTGATAATTTCCTCCTGTATGGAAAGAAGTCCTTTCGAGAAACTGTTTATATTTGGTCTGTCTAGGGTGTAAGAAAAACAAGCTTATATGTAAGTTACACAAATAATAAGAATGTGCCTGCTTTGATTCTCAGAAACCAAAGCCAGCTGCCTTTTGCAGGATGTGGGTAGGGCTGTGAGGTAAATTGTAGCTCTTACTTGTACAGTAGTGATGGTATCGATCCCAGGCGACAGCAGCACTGGAGCTAATGCTGGCCAGTGCTGTCAGGAAGCCATGGAATCCATGGATTTGACAGCCATCAGAGCCATAGGGCCAGTATCTGTCAACAAACAAGGAATATATTAAGAAAATGATAGAGAAAGGTGAAGACATCTTTGGAAATTGCATGGACAGAGAGGGTACAACGATAGCCTGTGCTCATCCTATCAGTCTGAGAAACACTGTGAAAGATGTGACTGTGCTTGCATTTAGGCATTTGCCAGCATTTTTCTTGCTGTGGTGTCTCTTACAGTACAACACCTATCTGTACTCTTAATAATGAGCAGAAAATATAACCCTGTAAATGTGTATTGAAAAGTTGGGCTTTTAAAATTTGAAATCTGCTTTTCATCCAAATATCCAGATCTTCAAGATTTGCGTCCTTTGTGAGGAGCCGGCTTGTCAATGTGTGCAAGTCAGTGCAACACAACAAACAGATAAAGACTTGCAGACAAATTTGGGGTCAATCTAGAGGTTAGTGAAGTGATATTTCGATATTCAAGTAGCTTCTATAACCATTGGTAAAGCTGTCTGGTTAAATGTCTTCTCTAGTCAGTCTTAAAATCTGTCAGTGATTATATGCAGTAAAATCTGCTTTTCTATTTGCCTGGTAGAACCATGCAGGGTTTTGTTTTGCTGTTTCAGATCGAGGGAATGAGAAGGTTGGCTATGACTTATGGTAGAAAGAGAGACATTTAATTAGTTATACCTCTTAGAACTTAAGCTGTTAATTTTCATGTGGTTCTTCTGAGCATGCTTTAGGAAAACCTTTCTGCCTTACCTGAGGAAGCTGGAAAAGGCAGCGATGAATGCATTGATGCAGATCCCACAGTCGGCCAGGGCAATGCTGAGAACCAGCAGATTGCTGGGCGTTCGGAGCTCTTTGATTTTTCGGAAAGAAATAATTGTCAAGCCATTCAGACAGAAACCAAGCAGGGCTGAAAGACAGAATTGTTTGGTGTGATTCGACTGGAAATGGGAAATATCTACAATGATACTGCTGTTTTCTTTGATGAGAGAACAACAATTACAGTGGAATCTTCTTGTGCACAGGGAATATATCTGTAGTGGTCAGTCTGCATGCAAGTTACCAAGGCTTTCAGAACAGAGGTGACAGCTCAAGCCAGTGCTTCAGATCTCATCAGTCATGTGGAGCAGAAGCGGTTTGATCTTATTTGTAATTCTGCCTTTTGTGATAATAAGAGAAACATATTAAAATCAATTACTGATTGACAGGCTCTGTGCAGGGGCTCATGATTCAGGGTTCAGAGCAAGTGAGATGCAGAGGAGGCAGTTTCAGGAGAGCTGACAGCCAGCACATGCTGTTAGTGTACATATGTCCAGGCCTGACCTTAACAGAGAAATGGTTTCTGTTTAATATCCATTTTAACATTCTTTTTTGCTTAACCACAGGAATGCCTCAGCCATGTTTTAGTCAGCCTGCCTGCCTTTGGGCTTCTGTCTCAGGGTAGCCTACACTATGCTTGAATCACACCAGCTCAATCTTATTACTCTCCCTCGTCAGTAGACTATACATGGAAAGGAATAATCTAATTATGAAAAGCAGTCACTGATAGATTTAAAAAAAATAAGTTTATGTTGGTCTTCAGAGAGGGATCCAAGCAACCTGAGCTATACACCCAGCACAGAGCTGTGACATTCTGAAGCCCATCCTTCTCTGGTTTAAACTCAAGCTTTGTCCTTTAATGCCCTTTTCAAGGCGACCTGAATTATTTTAGCTCTTATGAGGCTCTGATTCAACATCCAGTCTCTAAGTTTCAGTTAGATGAGTAGCACTATGTCTTTGTGTTCTTCTCAGAAAAAAGAAATGATGCAGCACAGAAAAAATCCTTATCCCCTAATTTTGTAAAGTAGTGTAGTTACTTATGCTTATTGTCTTAATTCTGTGGTTACATAAGATGGATGATTTTTTTTTCTAGTCAGAAATCCTGCTTCTACCTTAATTGCATTAATGGCTGATGGCATAACCATAGTAACAGCTGATGTGTGTCTATCATTACACAACATATAACAAAATATTTCCAGGAGAAATATTTGGAGCCATTTGAGATCTGCTGTTTTTATTTCCTCCCTGCCAGATTATCTCCCGCCCACAGGGTAAAACTGCTGTCAACTCTCCCAAATGCAGAGAAGCCTTTAGGAGAGAAGTGTTCTGAGCATTTTTAGAGTAGAGTTGAAGAGTTATTACTATATCATATTTTTTTCTATCTTTTGCCTGTTTTTGGAAGCCTCAGGCTTTACCAGATTCTGCGTTCTGCAGAACGTCAGCATGAGTGTACAAACAAAGAACTTACTAAATTTTTTAAAAAAACTTTGAATTTTCATTGTTAGATCAGCAAAGATGTCCACTTAATAAAGTGATGCAACTCTTTAACACAACATTTTTTTGCAAACTGCACTTAGAAGCTGACATAAAAAAATGAGAGTTCTTCATTGCCTTTGTCTCAGAGTGTTTCAGAAAGTGAATTAATCCTTGATTATTTAGCTTGGTCTCCTAACCCAAGTGACAATTATAAAGTTTTATTGCCAATCTACTAGGCACATTTGGCCTAAAACCCAATGGGAAATACTTGTGTTTAGTAAACCACAAATGTATTAAGCTACACCTAGTTTTAATGGAAGGTTACCATGGGATTCTTTGCTGGAACTTCCACAGCTGCAGGTCCCCAGCAGGCTGCAGCCCCTGGCACAGGGCAGGGCTGGCAGGGCTGTGGTGCCCCAGCAGGACCCAGCTCTTGGGCTCTGCCAGTCCCCAGTGCTATCCCTGTCCTTCTGCTGCTTCCCACCGTGCAGGACAGGAGAGCAGATCCTGCCAGGCTGTGCACATGGCTCAGGGACTGTCAGCCAGGCTTAGCCCTGGGCTCTGTTTAGGCAGAAGCTGCCCCTGGGCAAGAAGTACAAGCTTTTTCCTTTCTCTTCCAAGGAAGAGTGTCTGACATTTCCAGCTTTCCTTGCAGCCAGATATGAGCTCGGGTGCAAGGTGAAGGTGAGCACCCATGCTCCATGTTCATGGGGTGAGCCAATGAGCATTTATCCCACTCGGATGGTGATTGCAGTTTCTCCTCCTCTGCCTTTGGGCCCCATGATTCCCACATCCCCCTCTGAGCAGCACTATGTAGGAATGGGATCCCAGGCCTGGGACTGACACCAACATAATCCTAGCTATGAGCCTTTGCTACCTGCCAGGTAGATACAAATTCACAGTTTTGTTACAGTCCCTCAATAAGTGGCATATGCCTTAAGAAAATATCACACTGGCTAAATTAAACTGATATAGTTTGTTACATTTACCCAGCAGCCATTAATTGCAGCACTACCAATGCAGTCTGGATGTATGGTAACAGTTTACAGGGTTTTTTTTGAGCTATCATGTTTGATTGTAAGACAGCCATCACAACCCACTAAACAAGCAGTCCAATTTTATTGAGAGATTATCACTCATTTAAACTTCTTTCCCCAGAGGAAGATAAAATTGCCCTTAAAAGTCAACAACAAAATATTACATCCCAAATTCCTGAGAAGAGAGCTGAGTAGCAAGTACTTCACTGCTGTGCACAGTGCACAGATATTCACAGCAAAGAGCGTGCAGCTCACCCTGATTTACTGACCAGAAGTACTGGTGATGTAGCCACAGTAACCAGGGTCAGCATAACACAAATGCTACTGTTCACCTCAATTTCCCTTCCCCCCTCTTACCAGAAATAATAGGAGGAAAACCATCTTATTGCTGCTGAGGTCCCATACCGAACTTACCTTCTACCAGCAGGGCAGTGCCAATGGCAAACACTTCTATTTCAGTGAAGCCTTCAGGAAGAGGGTGTGCAGTGACCATCCTTATGGTAAATATGCCAAAAGATTTAACCTCTGCCCTCTGTTATAGCTGTGGGGCTCTGGATCTCTCTACTTCCAGTAGCCCAAGGCTTCTTAAAGGAGCAGCTCACGTGCAAACACATGCTGCTATTATATAAAAGCTTTGGGGTTTTTACTCCCACCACTACAATCCCTGCAGGAATGTTATTAATGATGGGACTAGCATCAACCCGCACTCCCCCTTCCCCGGCAAATCGTATTGCAGACACCAGCAAAATGAAAGCATTCATTGTAATTACAACAAGTTCTTTGTAGATACAAGATTAGGAAACCTGTCCAGTTAATTTTGCAACACTGGAAAAGAATTAAACGTTGTGGAACAAAGAAAACATGTAATTGGGGAGTGACCTGAAAAACAAAGGGGCACTCACTGAGTTGATAATTAGAGGAAAAGTATGAACCAATAATTTCTGCAGCTTGTAGATCTTCCCCTCACCCATTTCTTTAGAAACTGGCCAGTGTATTTTTCTGGCAATGACTGTTCTCTATATTAACATATTTCCTCTTTGTAACTGAGGCTTAAATTAATGTGCACACTGGCACAGCTTGATTAAAGACAAACACAATTTACTGATTTGGGGCCCTAAACATACAAGGATGTGAGTGAGTTGCTCAGTGGTGAGCACTCCCAGGAATCACTGCACCATCCTTTTGGAGATGTTTGGGGGCTGTAGTCTGGGTGTACAGGGGCTCTGGAGTATGTGCAGCATGCAGCTGGTCCAACCTCCAGCTCATTGCCTTAACCAGGTGCCACTAGCACGACAGTTGCTTCTTTGATATGTAACTTTCTTCATCCTGATAATCCTACTGCAAAATGGGAGCAAAAAGGGATATGAGTACAGGGGATATGAGCTTCCCCCATCTCAGGCCTCGCACTGTGCTGACCTGGCTCCCAGCTGATCGAGGTGCCAGGCAGAGTGAATTAACTCCAGATCCCACCAGAGCTTGTTCAGTTCTCCTGACTACATGGTGAAGTTTACATTTCAGGGGTGCATTTACAGTCAGGGGTATTGGTTGAAGATAGTGGTGGATTTTTTGCAGTTTCCCTGAAATCTGTGCTTAAAGGCTGTGATGCCCAGGAGAACTGACTAGACCTTCAAGGCTGTTGTGGAACCATCTTGCTGCATATTTTTATCTCTGGTATTCAATTTACTGCTCTTTTGGATGTAGGTAATTGCCTTGATGGATATGCTCTTAGATTTTGAAGTAGAATTCAGAAGGGCATGATATTTGTTAGGCTATATAGATGTTTAGTTTCAGCAGAATAAAATTACATTGCACCACATAAATCCATTGTTATGTTTGCCTTTCACTCACCTACATGTCTTGATGACAAAGAAGGTGACAGTCCTGCCTCCTAGCATGGCAAATGAGTGATCTAAACCCGTGTTTTGATAGTGATCCATTGTATGTTCTTGCAGAAAATTAGCGCTAGATCTTGTAAATGTGCTGTAAATTTTCCTAGCATGATAGTTCTGAAAATGGATGGCTCATTGTAATGCTTGTCAACATAAAACTCCACAGCTCTTCTAGACTGGGGATAAAGGACACAGATATTTGAACTGCCCTCCTGAGGGCTGCCAGGTACTTTTGGTTGCCTGCCACTGTACTTTGCCTTTGCTCTCAAGCAAATCTCCCAGATGTGTTACCCTGTTGGTAGTTTTTGTGGAGTGTATTAAAGTCTGCGGGGCAAAATTACTCATTCCAATACTATTTCTTCTGTTAAAGTAGGCTACTAACCCAGTCCCACTGGATTTAACAGACCTTTATTAGAATGATTATTATTAACTTGTTGACTGCTTTTCTTTAAGTATCTTAACAATCCCCATGTCTAAATCTCATTTAATTTATCAGTACAGTGTCTAATTACACATCAGTCATAGGCAAACTTTCCAGTGGTAGTTCAGCATCTGATTCAAGTGAAGTTCATGTCAACAGAAACTTTACACATCAGTCTCTTAATGTCTTTGCTGATGCTCTGTTAAGCTGACTTTCTAAGGGTACAGTATGGAATGATATATGGTCCAATATGTCTGCTAACTTCACCTGAAAGTTCGGGTTGTAAATGGTTTTCTTCAAGCAAAGAGGAGATGCAAATAAGGAACAGATATTGATAGAATCTTCTAATGATAGTTCTTTTTTCCAGTTGGTAAAAAAGCATTCATTTCCTTTCTGTGCTTTTTAATGTAAGATGTAACCTCACATTGTGTATTCCCGTGAAGTTGGGGGGGAAAACATGCAAATGATAGCAGGTTTGCCAGACACTCATTAACTCCTTAGTGATGAAGTTTTTAGTATCCCTTTATATTTTATGCACTCTTTCAATAGCTACTTGCTCTTTCCAAATTGAGAGGGAAAAATCTTCGTTCAACCTGATGTTATCCTAGAACTTCATATTTTGAATTCCACTGATCTCCTTTCTGCATCAATAACAGATCAATTTCCTTTTACCCTCTCACTAAAGAATATTTCACTGAGTACTAATCTGTTTGCAAGGAATACACAGAAAAAATACATGATAGGTTCTTGCCAGATGTCCCTATGGATTTCATAGAACTGTATAGATTTGGTGGGAGCATATTAATCTTTGTAAAATATGCACTGGTACAAGCACAACAAAAAAGGTGCAGTGCAAAGATAACAGAGTGCTCATGCACTCTGAATTTTCTTCAAGCAATCAATGAAGATTACTGACACAGTATTTTATATTCACAGCAAGAAATTTGCTAAATTGGTCTATTATTATTCCTCTGCCTTCCTAATCCTTTCTTCTGATTCAGGCTTAGCCAAATTTGACTTTTTATGTTGAAATATGCCTTTAAATGAAAAACAGCAGCATTTCAGCAGAAGCAGGATGGGAATGCAGTCACCCAGAACTGCAGTTTGGTATCACTGAAATGAGTGGTAATCTTGGGCCTCATGGGAAAGGCTTCTTGCCAAGGAAAGGAAACAGAAAGTGTATTGTCTGGAGACCTTCTTGTTGTGGTTGTGTAAATTTGTTTCAGTTTGGTAGAAGTGATAGGGAACATGACCCAGATTGTAAATAGGCACCTGGTGTTTGCCATAGGCGTGATGATGCAGGGACAAAATCATCACACCAGTGTGTGGACAGATATCAGCCCTTTGGAAATGCCTGCAGCCACATAGTCACCCTTGTCCTCAGCAGTCTGGCAATGTAACACCCTGCTCAATCTGATTTTCTCTGCACTTGTCTCAGAGCTGTTGGAGGAAGATGTAGTGATGAAAACCAAGGAAGCTGGGAGCAGGCAGGAGCCAGTGGCTGTGCTTTGGGGAGCGAGCATGGCAGCCCCAGGTGTGGTGCGGATGGTGTGAGGGACCCAGAGCAGGATGGGGGCCAGGGGAGGTGCTGTGTGTGCAGAGAAAGGTAGATAAAAGGTTCACTTGCAACTACAGAGAGAGCATCAAGGTCAGGGATAATATCTGGGGAAAGATGCTGAGCAAAAATGAAGGAGCTGTAAACTCGGTGGGAAGTAAGAAAGCCAGGAGGGGCAATTTCAGAGTCAGAGCCAGAGCAGTGCTGTATGAAAGTCTCTCCAAAAAAGCGCACAGATCAATCACCCACTCCCCAAATATCACAAATTATCCCTGTGATTGGCTCCATGAGGGTGCAATGCCTGGAACCAGACAGAGCTGGGACTGGCTTCCCCTCCTGCTGCTGCACCTCAGTCTTTAGAGTCAGAATTTCCTGTAGAGCTGGGAATCATTGCCTCTACTGTTTGAGTTACCTCTCCAGAGGCATGTAGCTTAATTCACTGAAAATTGGATATGTAATTCATAAATATATGTATATCCACCTAGGCTAGAAAATTAATAAAGTTACTAGAACATTTATTGCATCCTAGACTTAGTCTTTGCTGGAGGTACCAATCATGATTTTTATAAAATATGTATAATTGTTGCCCTGATCTGTTACTTGTCTCTCAAAATGCATCTTAAGCACCTATAAATGTGTTTTTCTTTCAGTTAAACTATTAATTTTAGAGTCATATACATATTCACAGTATAATGAGATACGCTGTCTCCCTCTGCTGAAGAGTGACATGTTTCAGGACTCTGAAGGAGAAGGTAGTCCTACAGAATTCACAGTGTACCTAACACTGTTAGTGCATTTCCCCCTTGGCACTGAGACTTCCCACTGCAGGAGAGTAACTCCTCAAGGGATTACGGTTCAAAGACCAGTACCCAGTTATCAAAAAACCCTCTGCTTTCAAGAGGGGCTTTAGTTGTATTAAGAGAGGATTTGCACACCAGCTCTCCTATTATTGCTCTTGTAAAGAAGTGGCATGATCCTCCCTGAACCATTCCTCACGAGTCTATGCTACTGACCAAGAACTTCTAGACCACATACAACATAAACACGTTTTTTCCTATCACTGTAGTATTGCATATCTTGTTTGTCTCAACAGTCTTCTACCAGTGTCTGTGTGCTGGGAATTCCCCAAACTTCCTGCTGATATTTCCCTCACAGACATTACTTTAGCCTGAATTCTGCATAGCTTTCCTCAACTTCAATGTAAGACCTGTGTTTACTTTTAGAGGGATTAATCACATCTAAATTTTTTCTCATATAAAACGCAATGGTGTTAATTACCTAAGCTAGGCTTTGTTTTTACTGTTACTGGATGGAATGGGCAGAGAAGAATAACATTAAAAAATAAAAACTACACAAGGTAAAACGTTTCCTTTTATTATTCCTTGTACATTTTTTATTTTTTTGTTTTGTTCCGTTTTGTTTTCCCCAAAATTTTCTTGGTCTCTAGTACTTGCAGCTTCCAAGAAGTTTACTTGAGCTTCCACAAATGTGGAATGCATGTACTCAGCCTGCAAAACCTTGGAGCTGTATTCAGGTAAATCAGAATAGGAAAGCTTGTGATGTCAGACAGGCAAGAGGGCAGAGGGTTGCTGTTTATAAACACTGTGCTCCATCTGCATTCAGGAGACAGATGAACAATGGTGGAAATTCTTCTTGCATGCCTGAAGAAGCAAAATAAAACAGCCACCGTTTCCTAAGCAGAGGTGACTTTGCAGGTCCAAATCAGAAAAGGTGGTTGCAGTCAGCAATATTACTGCATGACCCCCTCTGTCATGCAGCTGAGGATGCTAACCCC